TTCATTTCGGTTTACGGGTGAACTTTTTGCATGTAGCCAAAACCTATTTTAGTTTGTTTAAACTACGCTTTTTTAATATACAGTAAACATCGCCCGAAAAAAAAAAGCTGAAACTCCGGAAACCATCACAACTCAAGGCGTTTCCAAAAATACACATGGTCACCATTCTTCCCACCAAAGCTCGACTTATATGATATCCAAACTTGGGAAGTTGAACACTAAGTTGGCGATAGTCAAGGGATTGGGTTGGAAACATATAGGGCCTGGACGAAAACGTCCCAGAAAAACAACATTTTTCATTTGGGGTTACGACTACAGGTTTGTGCGAGGTCAAAAATGGTATATTTAAGAACCGGGATACTTTTTCTTTTTACAAACGGAAAAATCAGTGTGTTGTTTTTTAGAACCTGCATTATTGCTATTTTCGACCTGATGCAGTTCAATATCACACAGCATTGTTCAGTCCAGCTCGCCTGTTTTCTGGGAGGTCAGGCCTACATCAGGCTTGCATCCTCCAAAATCTGTTTTGGTCCTCCTATGTGGTGTTTCCTGTTTGAAACTCAAGATCTACGTGAGTCGTTGGTGGCGTTTGTGGTTTTGCAGTTGGCAGCGCAGTCTCCAGGATCTATGCTAGTAGTCTCCCACAAATTTTGTTTCTTGGCAAGTCCACATGAAAGTCTATGTTAGTGTTTTTTGTATGGATTTTGCACTTAATTCTCAACATCTATGTTAGCAGCCTGAATGAGTTTGGCATGTTTGGTGAATCAGTCTGGCATCTAAGGGCTTTGTTAAGTCTATGTTCTTGGTCAATCATTGCAGGAGCTATGTCACTGATCCTTTGCATGTGCGTGGTTATGCAGTTTGTGTTTGATTTGGTATGATATTGAAGGTCTATGTTATTGATTAAACCGGGTTTTGCGTTTTGCAACTCAATCCACAGGGTCTCTGTGGTACTCATTATGTTTGTTCTGTTTTAAATTCCAAATGGGAGTCTATGCTAGTTGTTTTCTATAATGGGCCTGTATTTTCCACACTTCAACTTCGAGATCTATGTTAGCAACTACCTAAAACATCCTAAAACTATACATATACACACACATATATATATATATAACGATCATCTGGAAGAACAAATTCGAAACTTCAACGAAGCTCATCACCAGGCAATTGATATTCCTGTTAGGGGCCCAAAACGCCACAGACAAAATGCAACCCGCGAAAAAACACTAACCTAGATCCAGAGAGTTCTACAATCATGCTTGTGTTCTAGTTGACTGTGCAAACAGACACACTATCATGGACCTTGAGGTAGCTCTTAGCAACATATTAGCTGGAAATGAACCACTAATATAGACATCCATCAGGAGTTGCAATAATATTGGGAATGTTAAATGTCGCAAAGGTGGGCCCTGCGAATTGTGCGGCAAAATGCAAAACCCACTTTGATCACTAGCACAGACCTCCACTAGCTTGAAAAGATTGAAAGAAACATGGATCCCATCAAAGACTTTGTGTGAGCGCAAATAAAACAGAGGCAAACATAGGCTTTAACAGATATGGCACCATGCAAACACACCGGGCTAGAAACCATGACTAAAATAGATACTGGAAAGATTGAGACAAATTGGCTTGACCAAGTTGCCCCCAAGTGAAAACATGCGATTTTAAATTCATCTTTAAAAAGATCGAGCACTCACATAGATTGGAACACCCCCCCAAAAGGCCACTAACATAGCGGTGGGATGAAAACTCCAGCTCACATAGACTATGGAAATTGTCTAGAGTCATGCTAGTCCTGCTTTTTATGTGTTTCAAGGTTTGAAGAGTCCACGAGCATGGATGTGCAGAACATCAGCAGATCTATATATATTATATATATATATATATGTGAGGGGATTTTCCCCAATATCATCAGATTGCCCAAAGTGCATTTTGCGACTAATGCTTCGTTGGTTTTAAAAAGCAAGACCCACCAAGATGGATCTCTCAAATCGATTGCAAAACATGTGCGCGGCCTCTAACATAGACAACAACATGATTCAAATACACCAATTTCATCCATAGACCTTGCATATTAAGTGCAAAATCCATACAACACCCCCTAACATCGATACCAGACTGTTTCACCAAAATTTCAGAATCCGACTAACCTAGATGTCATGGGTTACGAATGTTTTTTTTTTTTGGTTTTTTTAAACCTAACATAGATCCGAAACTGATTGACCAAGCATGCCAAAATATGCCAAAATCGTTCAGGATCCTAGCATAGATAAGAGAATCAAGTGCAAAATCCATCCAAATCACTAGCATAGATGCTTATTTGGGTTTGCAACGTGCAAACATTGTTCAAAACATGTGGGAAACCACCAACATACATACTGGAGGCTGCATTGAAAATTGTGAAACAAAAACATTAACATATATTAACATAGATACGCAACAAAAAACACAGATATGCTGCGATTCCAGAATGATGCAAGTCCGACCGTCATGGACACTAACAAAAGATATTGTTTTCTTCTTTTCTAGGCAAAACTGTCATAGTCACAGCATGTTACAGCTGTGTTCTTGTAAACCAAATCAAATTACCTTAAATTGAACACGTTGGACGAAAACCATGGAGAGGCACGCATGTTTGAGTCTGACATGCATGGCAGGACAAGCAAAGGCTTGGTTGGTCACGTTTGCAAGGGTCGGGTTGGTTCGGTTTTTTTTTTCCGGTCAAACATAAACAGGGCAAGAACCAAAATCAAGCATTCGCATATTCTAATGATTGAACATCTGATATAAAGTTAGGTATCGACAGCTTGATATTTTTTGTCGATTTAGGATTGCATATTGCAGGTCTATGGTTCGTTCATACAATGTTGGTACAATATTTGGGCCAACGTTACTTCGTACAATGTTCGTAAAAGGTTCGCAGAATGTTCGTACAATGGCCAAAAGAGTTCGTACAATGTTCAATGTTCCACTAAAGGTCATACAATATCGTACGATCTTTTTGGCCATTGTACGAACATTGTCCGGACATTGTACGAACATTGTACCCTGAGTCTCCGAAATCGGTAAATTTACCAGGAGCCTGATTTATGCAAATCAAAAAACAACAGGTCAATTTTTGTACACTTTTTGGCCATAACCTAAATTGATTTAGGCTCTAGCCAAAATGTGAAAATGCATGAAATGTGCATTGCGTTTTCTTGTGCTGTATGTGCTTTTGATGTTTCTCAAGTAACTTAAGCATTTCGATGTGTAATTTGATTTGTATAGATACATATTTTTGTTTGGGTTGTTTGTTTCATATGTGCTTCATGTGTTTCATATATGTTTCACAAATGTTTCATATATGTTTCATTCATGTTTCATTTATGTTTCATAATATATATATATATATTTCACATACGTGTTATATTTCATAGATATGTCATAGATGTTTTATATATGTTTCATATATGTTTCACATATTATGTTTTCATATATGATATATATTTATGTACAATGATATGCATTTTTATTTTTTTTATATGTATATCTGGTATCTGGTATCTTATCTTCAGGTCTCCTACAGAGAAGAGCTCTTGAATCAAGATAATTATTAACATAAATATGCACGCAAACTGCCACGTAAATTACACCAACCAAAACATAACCAGTTCGCAAACGTAAAATTGTCAAACATTAACCTGAACATTGTTGCCCAACTTTGGGTGAAACATAAACCTGTTTGTGATTTGGAAAGGCTGAATTATATGTAGGCATGGTATGCAAAACAATGTTTTTCCACGTGTTTCCATGTGTTGGTGTTTATGTATCTTTTATGTTTTTCCTTGTGCAAGCATCCGTGCATTTTGTCTTGTCTAAATGTCGTGTTTTTTTCACTACCTCTTTCTTTGTTGGAACCATCATTGTCAGAGAGTGTGTTGCTAGGATTTAACTTCAAAGTATCCTACACTATACTGTACTCTATTGACTATATGCTCATCGATGTTGTTGATTACGGGCAGTGTCGGAAGACCGGAGTATCTTTTGAGGATAATGTCACTTCTGGACTTCCGGCACAGGACAGTTCCAAGTACTTGCACGTGAACTCCAAAGACAGTATGTTAAACAACTGGGATAGTGAAATATGCACAGACTTGCTGAATTTGTAAAGCCACGCTGCTTTCAGTGTGCATACCTTTTCTAACCAGACTGGATGAAATTTGCAACATTGGGAGTGCTTGACCATGGACTTGCAGCAACAATTAGCCGTTGTAATTCTCTCCGTAAGGCAACAAAATATTTATATCACTGAGCATAAATGCATGCATATATAAACAAATAAAAACTATATATATATGTGTGTGTGTTCCATGTTTCATATGTTTGACATACGTTTTGCACATGTTTTGCATCTGATTGACATATGTCTGACATATTTTTGACATATGTTTTACATATGTTTGACATATGTCTGACATATGATTGACATATGTTTGACATATGTCGGACATATGTTTGACATATGTTTGACATATGTTTTACATATGTTTGGCATATGTCTGACATATGATTGACATACGCTTGAGATATGTTTGACATATGATTGACATATGTTTGACATATGTTTGACATATGCTTGACATATGTCGGACATATGTTTGACATATGCTTGACATATGTTTTACATATGTTTGACATATGTTTCACATATGTTCCTATATATGTTTCACATATGTTTTAGTATGTTATTTTTTGTGCATTTTTTTTGCGTATGCCTGGCTGGGTGCCTTCAGCTCTCCTACAGTGTATAGGTCTTGAACTTAGTTAATATATATATATATATATTATAGATGCATGGCATTTATAGAACGTTAGACATATTGGACTATATTCGGCTGCGTGATGCTGCGTGTATTTACTTTACTTTGGTGGAAGATCATTTTACAATTTTGAAGACCGATAGTTTGCAGCTTAGGTGGTTTGTTTTGCCAACTCATTCCGCTTGAGCTAAGCTTCAGGACAGCGACGAGAAGAAAAAAGAGGAGAAGGAAAAGAAGGACGAGAAGGTAGTCAAGAAGCTGGGCTGCAGACCGAAGCGCATTTCCTGGCCAAGTCTGAGAGCCAGATCTAATGGCAACATATGGCAATACAAAAGTCTCCCGGTTCAAAATCATGCGGTGGGTTCCTGGCTGAGGAAGAAGGCTGGTAGTGATTCATCAGATGACAGCTCTGACGACAAAAAGAAAAAGGCCCAGCTGGCTGTGGAATCGGATGAACATCACCCGTGATGTCCTGTGACATCCTGGACACTTCTTGGTTTGCAACATACCATTGTGGGCCGTTCCCAGTGAAAGAAACTGGACTTGCGCTTGAAGTCTGACCAAGCTTTCCTTTCTGCATGCGAAAGTGCTCAAAGCCAACGATGGCCTAGCAGGCCAAAAAGGAAGTTGAAAAGAAGAAAAAGAAGCGAAGCTCCAGAAGTGGCCTCAGGGCAACGTTGAGAACCAGCTAATTTATATTTGAGAAGCATACGAAAACCTTGGAAACATTTGGGATCTATATGATTCTAATCATAGAAAAGGGCGTTGTGTGGCTTACCAATATGCGGGGCCCTGAGAGAAGGCTTTGAAGAGTTTTGGACACGGTCGTTGCATTTATCAAGACTTCAGCCCTTTTAAGGCTCCTCCAGCAAGAGTCGGAAGAAGAATCGTTCTCGAAGCTGGGGCCTTGGTTTTGGAGCTGGAAGCCGTTTTTGTAATTGCTTTGGCTTAGTAACAGCTGATGTGGCAAGATTGGAAGGTGAGTTCTGTTTGTAGCCATTGGCTCTCCTTTGAAACCGTTGACTGTTTGAGCTGAAAAGAGACCAAAGAAATTCTACACACGTTTCAGAAAACTCCATGAGGTCCATGACATGAGATGACATAAGCAACACACTTTGAAATAAATGAGCCGGCAGAAAATCTTGAAATCGAGCTGCCATCATTTTACATAATTTTACATATATTAACTGACAGGGTATCACGGGGTCCTACTCCTTGAACTTGCCATGCTTTTGTGGGCCTTGCTCACGCCTGCGGCAGCAGTCTTGATCAAGGCAGTGAAAGCACAAGTGCAGATGAGAAATTCACAGAAATTCTATTGACCGTTGAAGGGTGTTGTGGGTCCATTCCCTTTTTTGGTTGACACAGGACTTGGAGGAAGCCCCTCGGGGGCCAACGCATCAAGCAGCTTGACTTGATTATGCTGCCACGAATCCATGCATAATCTATGCAACTTTTTTTTTGGGGTTGTTTGGAAGATGGTTCATTGAGTACGTGATTGTCAAGTATCGAGGGTGTATGGATGGACAAAAGGAATGAATGAATGAAGGATGGATGGAGTCCGATGTAGCAAGAGATTTGGGATACACAAACACGGATGAATAAGTAAGTAGATAGACAGATAGATAGATAATAATAGATGCATTGATATGTATATATACAGGCAGATCAATAGATAGGCACTGCATGCGAATACATCAATAGACCGGCAGTGTATGCGAATACAGTACATCAATAGGTCGATACTGTGAATGGATGGATGGATGGATGAATGGATGGATGGATGGATAAATTATTTAAACGGGTCTGTATTCATAGATGCATAGATTTGTTTGTGGATGGGCAGCATAGATATTTATAGATATTTTTATTTATATGCATATGATTGGATGGTGAGATAGGAACATCAAGAGGTAGACAATCATTCAGGCGTTTGTTCACTGTCTAGCAGAGCAGGAACGCCAATTGTCCCTTTTCCTTTCTCTCTACCTTTATAAATGCAGACCGATATAGTTTCCAATAATGTCCATGTGGTTTTGGTACTGTATGCATCGCTAGACTAATCGGAGCAAAACGCACTTGGGCAGGGCAGGTCTAGCCCTGTACATTTTGTAGCACGAACACCGTTGGCTGCACGACAGGATTGCCTGGCCCCGATCAACGATATTATCCGAGAGAACTGCAAAACAGGAAATCCCGCGACTGAATGGGACATCAATGGCGCAGGTTCCAGCTTGAAACTCGGACTGCTTGGTCTTGAAACACGCAGCTACAGTGCAAAACTGACACAAGAAACAGATGAGACAACGGATTATAAGAATAAATTTTATATTTGCACTTTGCGCAGTCATTCATTCACTTCGTTGAACGTTCGTGCAAGAGACCACGTCTGACCTTTTTTCCATCAACACATCCCTCAAGCTGAACCTGCTCCAGGATTCAGGGTTTCGCTACACAGAGCAGCTATGCTGTCGGCGAAGAGGTCCTGTTCAAAGTCAAGACCAACTCCAGATCCTCAAAAAATTGAACAGAACGCATTTCTTGCCTTGCACGTTGTTGAAGGGGCTAAAAGGGTCCCAAGATGTTCCAAGGTACGTGTTCACAAGTTCCAAAAACATGGTGCGGAGTGAGTTTGTTTGTTTTTTTGTTCTCATTTTTTTTCCAATTTGATTTTCAAGAATGGAGCCCAGGACAGTATCGTTTCGACATCTACCGCCTTGGCTGGTATAACGGCCTGGGCGCACGGCAAGTTGCCACCTTGAAGCCAGTTGTGCAGCTGCCACAAGAGCAGCCAGAATGCCATAAGGAGCTTGTACTTTGCATGGTTAGTGAATGTTAGTGAGCTGGAATGAGAGCTGATGTTTGCTGATGCCTTCCCGAAAACGACCAGCTACTCGTATTATTTGATTTCATGATTTTTGAGGACTGTTGCTCGTAGAATCGTAGACGAGGCATCATGAGGCAATTCGTCATTCACAAATTGATGAAGGCGTTTCAACATTATATAATGATATCATGACATAGTTACCGATATATGGGATATATATTTGTGATTATTATTATGTATTATTATTACTGTAACATTTATTAATTATTATTACATAAAAATAGCAAATTAAGCATCGAAAATTTAATATATATATATATGTATATATTATATATATTATATATTATATATATATCATTATATGTCATGATGATAACAATAGTAATTGGAAAGGTTAGCCCCAGGGTACGTTCACAATCTCCCGCTCAGCAGCACCTATTTCGTCGTAACGTCTCGGATTTTGAGTTGGGAAAAAGTAGCTTGGGAAAAGTAGCTGCGGACATACAGCTTGGTGAAATGAATTTGAGAAAGGTGTGAAGTATTTATTTATTGTGTGTTCTAGGCACTTGCAGTAATAATGACCAAAAATTAGGGAACATTCAAAGGTTCATCTTCGGCAACGGAATGGCTCTATAAAGCACAAAAAAACCTCTAAACAATCAAAATTAAGGATAGAAATAAGATAGGACATACCGTGACATACCGACGGTATCCCTGGAGCAAATTCAACTATGTTCAAATTATGTGTAAACCAACCAGCCGGAAGAAAGGCGGGGGTATAATTGAAAAAGAATCCTGTACTTCGATCCCCACTCTTACACACAATTCTTACATAATTTCTGACATACCACCTGGCCACTGGAAATATTTATGGCATTCTAACTGACATTCTTTCCGGCATACAATCTGACATTCTTTCTGGCTTTCTATCTGGCATCTATTCTGACATTTTTTCTGGCATCTACTCTATCTATTCTGACATTCTTTCTGACAGTCTCTCTGACATGGGCACTGCCGGACCTCAACCGCGAGCTCCAGATCTCAGTGGGCAGTGCCCACTGAGATCTGGAGTTCGCTGTTGGGAGGAGGAGGAGGAAGTAACTCTGATAGAATCTAGACACCCTCACCTGGCAGGTGGGGAATCATGAAATATTAAATTCTAGTTCCATCCAATACGTTACTAAAGCAAAAAAAATGAATTATTATACAGTAAGCTAGCATTTTAAACGATCAAATGGGCAGGATGATGCAACCTTGCTGGTGGATTGCGGCACTTGGGCTGTGAGTGGCGTATCCTGGCAAGCAACTGCTGAAACTAGACTTGTGCGGGGCCCTTATTTAGCTATGGGTGGTGCAGACGATGCTTTCATTGGCTCTTTCCATGTCTTATTGTATGTGTTCAAACATGTTCAATCCCACACAGGGGTCTGAGTCTGTATCCACAATCAAAGTGGCCGGTGTTCACAGTACATCCCTTTGTGCTGCGTCAACAGCCGTAAGCAGACATGTAACACGTATAGGCATGTATAGGCCGTATAGGATCGTATAGGTACATACTGGTACTGGAAACCGCAGACTCACTGCTACGATATCTATGTTTTATACCGTTTTATTATTAAATTGATTTATATTGTATTATATTGTAATATGCTCTAATATGTTATATAATATATATGTTATAGATGATTGACAGTCAATGATTGACATATTGACACCCAGTGAACGATAGTGAAACCACAGCAAGCATAGAGATGCGAAGATGATGGTTGCAGTTGAGGCATGGACCATTCCGGATGACATTGTGCCTGGTGTGTTTTTTGCCCGGCTGGTGATGGAAGACCCGCCACCTCATTGGCGGACCGATGCCAGTGAGATTCAGCCCAGCAGGAAATTTGCCAACAGATGCTGGGATACTATGAGATGCCATGAGCCATGAGATGCCATGAGATGCCAGTGTTCTTGTCATTTGCGGCGAAGTGTTTTTTGACACGGTTTGAATTTAAATAGATTTATGATGTGATCCTGTAGGTGATGTATGTCTAGAGCGGCCTTGGTCTTGAACCACCAGTGTTGGATATTTTCTCCGTGGTCAAAGGGATAAAGCAAAAAAAACGATTTTAGCAGATCGCTCAGCAGATCGCTTATTTCATGTCCAAATGTTTCCAAGTTAAGATGGTCGATTTGTTTTAAGCGGCAAAGGAAACTGGGACTACAAGGTGATGCCGCCCTGTGGTTCAGAAGATTGTTCTGCGATGGCTCACGCGTATGGTGCGCAACGACTCCGGGCTGGCGACATGATGCGCACCTTGCCCATTTGGCTTTATTGATCTTGGAGACGGAGGGCTCAACGAGTTTTCCAGCAACAAATTCTTGGACTTTGTGTTTTTCCCACTCTTCACGGACATTTTGTGGAACTCGACATAACGTTCAGCTTCATTCATTGAGTGTTAGATTTTGAAGCGGTATTTTATGCCAGGCAATGCATTGAAAGAGCCGCATGCCTCCCACGTCTACTTTGTCATTCGGCAAGACACTCAAAAGACGGACATATTGCTCCAGACCATTGACACCACCTGGCGCGCTTACAACAACTATGCTTCACCATCCACCTATGGCGTTCTCCCGCTGGAGAGGCACAATTTCAGCATTCCAGAGAGTTGGAAAACCCGACGAGCCTACAAAGTATCTTACAATGCTCCTTTGGTGACCCGTGACACTAGAGCTGTGAACACGCTCTTCAATGCAGAAATGCCCGCAATCCGGTGGCTAGAAAGTCATGGCTATGACATCCAATACTGGACAGGTGCTGATGCCCACTCTCGTGGTGCCGAGATAGCACATCGAGCCAAGGCTTATATTTCCGTAGGCCATGATGAATACTGGTCTGGGGGGCAGAGACGGAATGTGGAAGCTGCACGCGATTCAGGACGCTTGGCATGATGCTTGATTGTTTCCCTTCCTTCTCCTCTTTTGCGTTTTTTGCTTCTTCCGCCTTTTTTCTCTCAGCTCTGGACCATGGCAGCGTCAGCTCAACACGCATCCTTGCTGAGCTGTGTCCGACACTGGAACACAAAGTTGTCGGTCAAAAATAAAAGAGAGAGAGGGAGAGTTAATACTGTACAGTACATAATCTGTAATATCACCATGTGCTGGAAGGGCCATCTCCATGAGACAGCTAGGAGACAAGACATGGCAACTCTGTTATCATTACCCAATTAATGTACATTGCATAACTTATTGCAAAGAAAGAGGATGAGATGGTTGAGTTTTTTGATGATAATCTTGATGATATAGGGTTGCAATGGGTTGCATGTCAAATCGTTCTTGTTTTGTCACAACACAAGGCGTTCACCTTCATTTCTGGAGCGGCAATGAAGTGTACTGGAAAGTTCGATGGGAGGCATCACCAGCGGATGGCACGCCAATGAGAACCATGGTCGTATACAAGGACTGGCAGCATCGGGCAGCACCCCTTGTTTTATTGGGGCGATGCGGTGTTGAAAGATGTTGAAAGGCCGATTGTATCCGATTGTATGGTTCAACATCGCGCAGGAGTCGCAGGAATCATTTAAGATCGATCCAGCCAGCGAGGTTTGGACAGGAACTTTTCGAGATAGCCATCAATTCAACCCTGAGGGGTCGAATCCAGAAAACTCCTTGACGGGTACTATTTTTACAGTTGTTCGGTCCTATGATTTTTTTTTGTGTTCGTACTTGTGTTGTGGATGAGGGTCTCAGGGGTTCTTTTTTGTTTCTTTCGAATACACCCCCGAAATCCAACATGGAACTGCATGCTATTCCTGAGGTTTGCTAACATGAACCCATGGCACGGTCTCAAGTGGATTTATGTTAGCATGCCATGCAGCCAAAAAGTGTGCAAACATGTCCAAATTCAGCAGCACCAACATGGCACCTACCTAGCCCTTCTCCCGCTCATGAATTTTAACATAGGTGCGCTAACATGGAACCCTTCTTTTTTTGCCCAACGTTGGTTTTCGGGAGAGTAATTACTCCCACACCAGGGAGAGTTTGCTGACTTGCCAGTGTGTAGGTGAATTCTTGGCGCAATGATGCACTCGAAATACCGGGTGCATATGCAAAGCTTCGGGTTTGGCGCAATACTACCGTGGCATCCTTGCTGCCACACCAGAGAGCCATCCTTTTGAAGGGGTCTCTGAGCTTGTTTGGGAGAAACATCCAATTTGATCCAATTCGTCGTATCAATTTGTGACATATTAGCTTCAACACACGAACTTCATTGTAGGATTGGATAGCCTGTATGATCCTGTATGCTTTCTTTTGTTCCTGCACCATTCGTACAGTTGGCCAAGTTGGCCAAGGCTTTTGGGCCACGAGTGGGACGAAGACTTGGACAATGGCTTCAGACCTCAAGGTCTCATTCGATTAAGCGAGACTCATGTGGACAATGTACAGGCAAGGGCAGAGAACGCAATCAGCACTCGACCAAGAAGCATGGGCAATGCATTTGATGTGATATATTGTGATATACTGTGATATGTGTATCATGTATATCATACCACAATATACAACAAGAATCTGTTGCTACAACTTGTTCTGTCATCACTCTGTTTTTGTTTTGACTTCATCCCGCAAGATCCTTTGGATCAAGATCAAACTGGCGCGGGCCCTTGCATTGCATCTTGGGCCCTCGGCCCTCGGCGGCCATGGTGCAGCAGAAAGATGCCTTTACTTACCTTCAAGCAGGTTCCAAACCGAAAGCTTTGGAGATTGCTCAATCTGCTGATTTGAGGCAGATGAATGAGCACGGGCAAAGTCTTATGTTTGCTGCGGCTGGCCGACCTCTCAACAAGGGTTCTTCTGAACTTCTTTGCCAAATACTTCAGAAACGTGGCCTGGCAGTGGATGCTTTGGACAACCACCACCAGACACCACTCTTTGCAGCTGCGCGTGAAGGCAATGAAATTTGCGCCGATTGGCTGATTGCACAGGGGTGCGCAGTAGACCATGCTGATTTCAGAGGAGAGACACCCCTTTGCATTGCCTTCCGAAACTCACAGATGGAAATGGTCATGAAGCTCTTGAAGCATGGAGCTTCTTTGGGTGTGAAAGACATGTATGGAGGTCGTCAGCCACCGTTTTTTGCCAATCCTATTTTTCGAAGAGCCTTCATGGAGAAGCGGGCAGAAACCCCCGAGACGATGAGCTCGCCAAAGAAGCGAAAGCGAGGGCAAGCAGAAGATCAGCCCCTTTGGAAGCGGTTCAGAGGGGACTTATCCTTGCGGTGCACAGGCCCCAATGTGATGACTCAATGGGCATTTCAAGATGAGGTTGTTCCAGATGAGAAGATTCCAGAGGAAAAGTGCAAAGAGGTCCTGGCAGAGAATGATGACTTCATCGTCATCGTCCCGCCACCAGAAGCAACAGCAAGGATCCGTGTTCTGGAGCGGGAATTTGCTTTGGATCATGCGGATTGTCTCCGAGGGCACCCCATGCACCTGGCTATGGCACCTGACGAATGGGCAGACTTTTCTGGAGTCCCTGTGAACGAGGCTGATGCCCACAAATTGATCTACAATTTATTGAAAAAGGGTTCAGATACGCAGTCGCTCATTTGCTGTGTCGAGAAGAGCAGTGGATGCATTCGAGGTTACCTCCATCTTGGCTATTTCAATGATCAGACCTTGGACCTCGCCTACTTGAAGGCAGGGTGCCGAAAACGTTGAAAACTAAACATACTAAACCGCGCACACACATGGGACCACACTTTGGATCTTGGAGATCTTGGAGTGCATTGTTTACAATGTTTATATTGTTTTGAGTTCACAACTGACTTTTATTTTTTCTACTCATCCCGCATATCCCTAGGCGTCCCCGGGTCCAAATGCTTGCACCCTGTTGAAACAAACTGCCTAAGTAGCACCATTGGGAGCTGATGCCCAGGGAGAACCCTGGAAAAGAATGGAAAAGATACGAGCCACGATCCACCCCCCAAGAACACCACCATACCGCATCATACCGCATCATACCGCTATGTCCACCACCCACCACCATGGTGTTGCGTGAGACCCTTAGGAAACAAGACAAAATTTGAAATTTAAAATACCGTACTGTAACTGTAAGAATCTGTAAGACATATCTGTTCAACAACATCAACCAAGTTCGGCTGGCATTGGTTGGCCCAAAGCATGTTTGAGCTTGCGTTGCGAAAGCATGAAAAAGCGAGTTCAAACTGATTACTGCATATTATTGCATGCTGGCTTACAGATATTTACAGATGGCTTGTTTGAGCTTTGCACAGTGTTCAAAACAGACAGCCGGATCCTCCTGGCAGGTGCAACGGGAGTTCCAACGGCGGGGCATCGCAAGTTTGATGCTCGAAGGTGGGATTCGCCTCGCTCAACAGCACCGTGGTTGGGAGTTCAATGAGATCTCCTTGACAGTGGCCCTGCGGAATCACAAGGCAATCGCGTTCTATGAAACCATGGGCTTTCAACACGCCCAACGCCCAAAAAAGGCAAGATCGGCTTTCTCAGAGAGAAGCATTATGAAGAAGAGGATTTGATGTCCTGACTCCAAAACCTGATCTACATGGATACAGGTTCCAGTCATTCTGGAGTCATTCTACAGGCCTAGGACGGCATCATCGATTTCTGAGAGTTGAGGCGGCGTATAGTTAGTGATGCAACAGATTGTAAGAATGATGTACTTTAGTCGGTTTCAATGTGGAGTAGTGACACTCCCATCAGCCATGTCTCACTCGGTTTGAAAAAAAGTTGTTTGACGCTGGCCAGCGCTGGCATCATTCACACATTGGATCAGAGATGCCGCATCAGTATCACGCTGTGGTTTGTCTTTTAACCAACTTGAAGACTGGGTGTGCTTTCATGATCTTGAAAGCAAGGATACCTTGAATATGATTTGCTGCAGGCTATTGTGGATCATGGCGCTTGCTTTGATTCAGGCAGTGCAACCCACCATTTGACCTTGTAGCATCCTTTGCACTGGACATGCTACACCATCTTACACCATGTTACACCATGTTACACCAGTGTTGGTCTGTGGAGCTGTGCGGCCCTTCTTTTGGATGTTGCACCATTCACTCAATTTCACTCAATTTCAGTTCCACTTACAACTGATAGCAAAATATAACAAACACAGAAAACGCCTCAATTATTTGAATTCGCCGAGGTACAAAGCCAGTTCTGGTGCTTTGGTTTTCGGAGCTGGAACTGTGCAATGGGCCTGGGGTTTGGACAACTTCCATGATGCCGTGACAGGCATGAACAACATGTGGGAGAGCGAGCACCTTGCCACTTACAATGATCATCAGTGATCCATCAATGATTGGTTGACCTTGGAGTTTGTGATAGTCTGCGGTTTCTTCTTGGAACCCCTGCCGGATTCCATATTCCTTGGTTCTCAGGTACAACACACGAATAGGTGTGGACCCTTCTGGTCCTGATCCAGTGGTGCAGCAAGCAACATTGTGACTTGCCTTTCCGTCAGATCTTCAAGATTCATGGGCTAAAAGAAAACTCCGCCCATTCGACATGAATGCGAGCTCTTTTGCAAAGTGATTTTAAACCGGTTTGCACGGGGGGACTGAAGATCAAGAGGAGATGTGGAGAGAGCTATTTTTTACAGCACTATACAGTACTGTAGATTTGCAAAAGTTGTCATTGGCAGACAGTCGACCCATCGCACCTTGCTGCTGTGCCAAGGAACCTTTTTGCTGACATGGGTATTAAAGCACACATTTTGTGAGCCGGTATGGTGCGTCCAACCAGGCTTCTTGATTGAATTGGATCATGGAAGAGGATGAGTGTACTTAAGACATCTTAAGATTTTATAGCTACCAGATGCTACCAGTAAATCCAGACTCCAGTCATTGACTTGTTCTTTTTGGGGCTTCAGATTTCCACACATGTCCAATGTCCAAGGTCCACAGACAAGGATGCTCCTGTGGTCACATCGGTCTCAACAAACATGAAGGGCACTCACAAGAGTCTAGTTCCCTGACTGCAATGTCTCAAGGTGGATTAAGGTCTATCCAGGAGTCAAATTGCCAGATACGTTAAGAATAAGATCATCAGCTTTCCCAGTGTTTTATTATGTTTGTAATTTGTTGTATATGTTTGTCAATCGTTTTCTCCTGTTTCATTAAAGTTTCAACATTTCTCAAATCGACGTTGACTGAGGTGGCTCAAGCCATTGATGTCGCTGGTGAAGTGGCAGCTGTGGAGTGGTCCGCAGATGGCCGTGCCTCGCCATATTTCGCCATGACATGCTGATGACATTTGAGGAATTTCGAAGACCTTGATCTCCTTCATTTTTGGATATGATATGATAGGATGAAGATTCATGGTCCTTGGTTTTAGATTGATGCAGATTGATCCATGGGTTTTGTATGGTTTTTGTCATGTTTTGTATCAGTTTTGGTGCCAGGAAGTTGGCATCCAATGAAGCGTGACCTTTCCAAGACTGATCATTGGATCATGGAAATGCCACAGCCAAGAGGCCACACCTTGCCACCTGGAAGTTTTTTGTTCATGGCTTGATGGAGACATGTGGAACCCACCTGGAGTCCAATCAATTGAAGTGTGCAACCAAAGAACATGTGAGTTGGCGAGTTATTGCATGGTGATAATGCTGACTGGCAATCTGAGACTATGTGCAGGAGAACTGTGGTTCCGAGCAATTGATGATTCATTGAACATTGGCAAGGAACGCCACTTCAAGGAGTCTTCTGAGTTATGAAGCCTTTCTGGGTCTTGCTGGTTCTGTTTCAGATGCCACGGAGAGAAAAAACAACCCACGGAGATAAAAAAAACAACGCTGCGAGACACACTGATGTATGACATGTCATGACTGTGGGACGATGAAGTGTCAGAAAGGATGACGATGCATGGTAGATATGTGATATAGAGATATGAAGAGTGCATGTTTCGGCTTTATTGCTGTACTTCGCGCACACCTGCCAATTATGTGTGCAGCCCAAGGCAAGAAAAAGAAGCGAAGTCGAAGTTTTGGTCCTAAGAGTCCTGAGCGTTCAATGCGTTTTGCTGTCCTTTTTGATCTGGAATTGGAGTAGGAACGCGAAAGGATGACGAGAACAAGATGCTGAATTGTTAGACGCATTAGATGGCCGAGCACGGCCCAGTAGAGCCTAGCTATAGGGGATCGGATGGGATCGGAGAACTTTTAGGCCGACGTCGCAGCAGATCTCGAAGGCGGAGCCGCAGCAGAGATCGGAGGAGGAAAAAGAGCTGGGACCCCTGGCCTGGCGGACCCTTTGGATCCTTTGGGTCCTCCGATTCTGCGAATCTCGAATCGTGTTCTTAAAAGATCTTAAAAGGATTTAAAAGGACCACCAGAGTGAAGAGTAAGTAGAAAGACACACCAGGACACAGCAAGTCTGGAAAATAATAAGCGAACTCACATTGCGAATCGCAGGCCACCCCCTTGCAGACGTTTAGAAACGGGACTCCGTGATTCTGAACAGGTGCTTTGAATTGCTTTGAGCCCCTTAAACTGAAACTCCCTAAATCACAAGCTCCAGTGCCAAGGTGATACTCGCAGCAAGTCGTTGTCAACTCAGAGGATCCAGCAATTTGTACTGAATAGCGATGCCGTATATGTCATGTCATCGTTTTGGGGGAAAAAACATGGCTGCACTGTGCAGATGAATGAGTGGTAATTTCAGCGATTAGGTTTTTGTTGGTCTAATGCAGCCACATCCCACGTTCTACAATTTGCAGTTGTTTTCTTGTTCCCTCCTACTGACCTGTGAGTCGCATGCGCTAAGGAGACGAAGACGTTCGCACCGCTGCTGACTCAGTTTTGGAGGATATCATAAGGAATAAGGATATTAGATTATCACGAAAGCTAGCGGTCATTTTCCAGGCTCATATGCACCTTAGTTTTCGTTCACCCCCCCCTTGGGCCTCAAGTCAAGGATGGATGATGCCTCATGGATCCTCGTAGTATCCCACAACCACATCCTCAAGACTCTCCCAAAAGACTTGTCCAAAGATGTCCAAAGAGGAGAGTCCAAGGGAGAGTACGAGAGTGTCGAAAGGCTTCCCGCTTGCCTCCGTTTTGAGGTCGAGGTCGCAGCCGCAGCCGGCGGAGATCGCATGCCGCTGTCCCAGATGCAAGGAACTGCGCTATTCTGCGCTACTCTGACTCCTCACATTTTATCTCACCCGAGTTCTGTTAAGCAGTCGAACGGATAGCTACTTTCACATTATTCGAGTGGGACTTGGTACACCTTCGAAAGCTATAACAGTCCATACATGTCCATACTGTCCCATATCAATCCACATCAGCCCATAAATCTCCATGCAAAGATTCAAGGACGCACTGTAAAATATGTTTTCCCATGTTTCCTCCATGTCCTGCTCAACGAAGCACAAGCACGTAATTTGCTAGGCCAGACCGGGGTTCCGGGGCAACCGTGGCATGGTTGCTGACCGCGTACAGGCTGAACGCAGGCAGGGCCATTCTGAAGTCTTAGTTGAGAGTGCGGAGGGTCCAGGATGCAGTTTAAAGGATCTAGACGAGAATCTAGACTTTCTTGTAGCTTAGAACATCTATATAATGGCTTAATTCGTTTCTCAAGATGGGTATTACGTGGGAGAGATTCATTTCTGGCATTATCTAGAGTCTAGAGTGTGTCATAGGTTTTGTGAAAGTTGTGTTATCGCGTATAGCTTACCGCTTAAACTTGCTTTATGGATGATCCCTGCTGTTGCTTCAACCCATTGACCATCATCAAAGTGAAGACAGATTTCATTGGCGTTCATTTGCCGGACTCCCAGGCGAAAAGACGAGAAGGATGAAAAGGGCGAAAAGCGTGAGGGGTCACAGAGGAAAAATGTTCTGAGGATTTCTTTAAGGGGCAACATAATAGTTCAAGAATGTGAAAACGAGGGTTACTGATCGAGACATGGAAATGGTCGTTCAACGATTCAACGGCTGCTAGCCAAAGAGGCGTTGTGTGGATCAAGTCAGCTACTGAGGTGACGAGCCAAAGGCACACATTGGGACTAGAGTCTAGGGGTGTATGATTTATCCGTCCAAAAGGTAGCCGGTAGATGCTGCTATTGTCATTTAGAAATTGAGGATACACCAGAATCTCTGCAGTGATGCTGCCTCCTTTGATCTCTTTTGCGCCCATTGTATGATTGGTGCTTGATTCCACTAAGCTCATGATACTCATGGATTGAGGTGACGCAAAAGCATAGACAGCCACCTGGCCCTTGTTCTTCCATTGTTTTCCTAGAATCGGTCACGCATTGGGGAAATAAGATGGTTGCATTGCACGATCCAACTGACAGGGCGACGCACGAGTTCGCAGCAACAGCAATTTCAGGCCCGTGAGGGATGCTTATCGACCTGCGGTCTGGGAGGTCTGGGAGGTCTGGGAATCACATCTCCAGCTGAACATGTTGCCAAGGCCCTCTCCTGCAAGCAAGCGAGTCCAAAGCTCAAAGTGTGCCGACATGAGTCAAGAGTTGGCAGCAGAGTCGACATCAAGTTGGCAGCAGTTCGTTTTCAAACTGAATTCGGTGTGACAAAGAGCCCAAACAGTCTGAGGCAAAAACTGACGGTGAAGGAGGTTGGGCTTTTGCAGAATTTCTGCAGCTCTTCCCCTTGGTCATTTTGGCACCATTGTGCCTCACCCACTCAAGAGCGTTGGATATTGTTGGAGTTTGTTTTATTCCGCAAAGCTCTTCCTCTTCCAGGAAAAGCTGGGGGTTTGGCAGCTGAGCTGGCAGTTGGGATCTTGGAGCTCAAAGATGCTCTGTCACTGCTCAGAGCTGGCCCTGGAGGGTACGATTTTGGATGTGATCGGATCTGATTATATAGTTACTTTTAAAACACTTAAATATTATTATATTAAATCATAGTTTAAATCAACACACACACATATATATAATTATATATATGTATAATATCTATACGCCGCATTATACTGCAGATCTCTAGTTATAATAAGCTACCAGCTCAAAGAGTGTGCCGCTGGGTTTATTGGGTGATATTGATTGAGGGGCTGTAGGTCTGAAGCTTTGAATCTCCGGAGCCACAACTTTTGGGCTTTACTTGCCAAGCCTACACCCAAGGCCGACAAGGAAAGAAGATCTGCTGGCATCCTGGCCAAGGATGACTCCGATGGTGAGGCAGATGCTGTGCAGCCTGAGGTGATGTGAAATGATGTGATTATTGAACACGGCAGCCATGCATTGCCGTACATCCAGAATAATCATGATTCGATTCATATACATCACTTATTATATATACTTATACAATCTTATATATATATAATTATATATATATATGTGTGTGTGTGTATGTGTGGCCTCAGTGAGGGAAGACATGGAAGGGAGAGGCTTCAAATGTTTTGGAGCCAGAGTCACGTGCTACACATGCAGGGCAAGAAACCTGCATGGGTGCGTAGCTTAACCTGTGGTCAAGTGCAGTACACCAGCTGTATGCCACACATCTCTGATGAGACACTCACACCAAGTGACATCATCACCCTACATAAAACATTTGAAACTAAAACGGATGCGTAAAGCATCCTCCTGGAAATGATATGTTTGATTTCGCATTGACAATCATGGGATTCCAATCCATCGCAAGTTCCGGGCCGGCGCGGTGGGGAGGGCCATCAGCACCGATGGGGATGACTGGGATGACTGGAATGACTGGAATGACTGGGACCTATGACTACCTGAAATGCTAAGATGGACTCCGGAGATGAGAAGGAGGCCTGGCTGCTTGTACTCCGCTTAACTTCACAGAAATCAACCAGAGCTTCACGGAACATGCAACTTATGTGGCAGACATCGACATCTATGAATTCTCTTGTGTTTGCACAGCAGGCTCCATCCAAGAAGGCGGGTGAACTGGAGAGATCCTTCCGGCAACCGTTCCAAGGGAACCAGTTGGCAAAGTCTGCAAACTCTGCTCACATATGATGTACAATGATGTACACATGTTCAGGGGGACCATGAGAGGAATGGCGAGCAGGGTTCTCAGCTGCAACAACTTCCACTGAAGTTGAGGCTCCTGAAAAGAATGGAACTCCACGTTTCACTTGTGGGACCATTCTTGATCCGCCATCATTCATTTTGGTGATCAATGAAAGAAGAGGAGTGTTCCCAAATTGGTTTCTTGAGTTTGCTGAAGCCCTCTTGGATTCTCCTCAAAGTACCAATCATACCCAAGAGTTTCTCATTTTCTCGTTGGTTTTGAGCAGCTGGCTGTGTGCAAGCTCAGGTCCGCGAAAGATGATGCGAAGGCCCCTAAATACTCTTAGCTGTGGATTGGGCATAGCTTCCAGGAAGTTCTGGGATTTGGGGATAAGCAAATGGAAGGGTGCTAAAGCGCTAAAGTAAAGTGTTCTTCAATGATTTTCAATGTATAATATAAAGGATTATAAAGGCTCGTTGCTGTAAATGCATTTCTGTTTTGACGGGATACTTTCATGCAGCTGGCGAATGATATCAGTCTGGCCCCATTTTGGTCGGATGTGTGACGAAGTAGATGTTGAATGATGTTGATGCAAGTAATGAATAGTCTTGCTTCACAGCTATTATCAATATTATCAGCTGCTTCCCGAGAACACGACAGGAAGACCAAGAACTGGACTACATGAATCAGCCATTAGACTTGCCTCCTGAGAAGTCATCCGCTCAGTAAGGCTCGCATTCTTGCATCTTCACGGATGTGGCCAACCACTCCCGAAAAAA